TCTATTATTAGAGACAATATAAATAAGTCCGACCTTCGCGCTTTTACATACTGGTAAAGTATACAGTTAACGAGATGAGATTTGATGTGCAGCTTCTCCTGATCACATTGTTGATTATAGGCAGTGCAAGTTATGGTAAGTTTATGGAGTTTGGTAATACAATATATACATACATATTCCTTTATTCTTATTGTACAAATGCATAGAATAATGTCGTGTAACGAAGTACCCAACTTCTAATTTTTAATCACAACATAAGTGAATTTATTTCAGTACACTTTGTCTTATTAATTTTGAAATATTTTCTTTCTGACTTTTAAGTCAAACAACACTGAGAATTTCTTCGATTACCTACTACAGAGAGAGACAGGTTTAGCAAAATTATCTGTGAGCAGATTTCATTTTTCTTTTCATTTTCCACCGTTTGTCCTTTTCAAGAAAGTCGACACGAACCAGTTGTTTTTGAAACATCCAGAATCACAATGAATGAAGGAAATAAGACTTTAAGCCCAAATTTGATAAGTTTAATACATCTAATATTGATTATTTTCTCGATAAGAGAACTCAGGGTATCGTTGATTAGTCTCATGTCATTTCAGTCCCTTGCAGAATATTATACCAATGATTAATAATCATAAGAATCATCATTTTATTTCAAGCTATCATTTTTTTTTAATGCAGAAGTGAATTTTAAGCGTAAAAATTTGGTCTACAGTTCGTACCAACCATTTCGGTGACAGTCATGTGACCAATATGTGTACATTTTAATGATCGTTGCCAGCCTCCGTGATAATTTTTCTTCAACTCTTGAGGACTACTCAGTGTGATAGGTTAGAGAGATTTAAAAAAGAAGCGATTGTATGTAATACAAGCAGAAGATATTAATGATTGATTAAAACAAAAGATATATATATATATATGAGAAGCAAATTGAAGCAATATGTGATTTGATGGAAGATGGTATTTCAGTAACCCAAAGTTCAATTAGGCTGCTGGCAACAGGTATGCCATGTCAAAGTAAAAATGGTAAGATAAGCAACTATTGATGTACATTATCAGTATGTCACTAACAAGGATTAGTAGAGTTCAAATGGTATACTGGTATGAAGAAAATACTGGTCACAATATTTGTGAAATTAAACAAACAAAATACAGAAGAGACACAAAACATCCTCTGAAATAAAGCTGTTCCATATTTGAAAGCCACTGATAACAGAGGAAGCACACTTATACAAATTGAATATAAAGTTACATAAACATTTGATTAATTCAAAATAATGTTTGCAGCGAAACGACACAATATGATAATGGAGATCTCCGTCTGCGAAATTAAAATTAAGTAAAGAAATTTAAATCTGAAATCTTATTAAGGGTTGTAACTCTAATCAAAGTAGTAAAAGACGAAGGATCTATGAATTGCGTTGAGAAGATTCAGGAGAAATAGAATATTATTTTCAAATTCAAAAGGCATGCAGTCGTGAATAAGAACGACTTCATCCAAGAGTTTTAAATCTTATTAAAATCATTCTAATCTAATAAACACTCGATAAAAGGTGATCATTAAAACTTGAGTGAAATTAGGCAAAGTAGAAGAAATAAAAATAGTAAACTGGGTACTAATGGAGTTATTCCCACCCCCACCCCCCTCTTGATAATATTCAAAAACTAGCCAGATGCAACATCTTGGGAGGATATATAGGTATACAATATGAGTCTTCCTGGCCCTATCATTTTTGAGAAGCTTCTAAAACATCTTGAACATCCCAAAGCCATGTCAGTATTATCAAACATTAAGTAAGAATATCATAAAAGATGGTGACTACTCGCATAGAAAACAACTACCAAGGAGTATCTTTCTATGTCACAGTTATATATATATATATATATATATATATATTACAGTATAACTGATGAAGGATGTTATGTCGCCTCTTTTGATAAGTCAGTGAATTCTGTCTTGCAAAGATTTTTATATTTTACAATCTATATGATGAAACGAATCAACAAATGAAGGCAACACCAGTGGAATCATTGATATTTCAGGAGATATTGCAAAATGAGTAAAGCAGTGGCTTTCACATATGTAACGTAATGAAACATACATATTCAGAAAGTATGTTACTCAAAAGGCTTTCTCAAAAGAGGCATAATCATTTACAGACTACTCTTTTGAAAATAAATTTTAATTTTTCCTTCAGTTCCCAGTGGAACATAGGGCTTCAGGCTAGAGGCTTGAAGTTTCTGTAGCAGTGTTTATTTTACAAGATGGGTTGCTAGCCTGATGCCCAACCTTTCCTCTTTACCAGTCTTATAACTGACTTAGCGAGGTTTGGGAGTGAGTCGGCCTGGGATCGACCCCGGACCATGTGCATGGTCGGCGAGCTACCTAACCGCTGTACCACCGACGTTCACTCTTTTGAATTCAGTGAATAAATTCGTGATTACCGCTCATATGATAAATTGTATCAACTGTGATAAACAAAAAGGTTGATAAAGCGATCGCCTGCCTATATCCATACCCGTGAGAGTCGATTAGATATTGAACAGCACAAAAAGCCATCCCTTATTTCAATTCATATGGACAATACCTAATTCTCGTTAAAGATGATCCAAGAAAATTCTAGAAAATTTCTAAAAGATTACTAGTTTGAACAAAGATTCATCTCCTTAACTGAATAATTCAGGTTGAACAACTCATGGTCACCTATACAACTTCCACCATCTTTATTGTGCATCACAAATATGGAGTATTTAAATTAATGTGAATAAACTTATTGAATAGTATTATTTTCTTATTCCTTTACGTTCCCAGAGGAACATAGGGCGTCAAGCTTCTTGGGATTTGAAGTTTCGGTAGTAGCGGTGTTCATGGTTACGAGACGGGGTTGCTAGCTTCATGCCCAACCTCACCTCTTTACCAGCCTTATTACTGGCTTAGCTAGGTAAAGGAGTGCGTCGGCTGGGGATCGAACCCCGGACCACATCCGTGGTCGGAAAGCATTCGACTGCTGTGCCACCGACGTGAATGACACTAGAATTAAGTTTATTTTCAGTTTAATGCTGAAAAACGAGTACTTTTTGAATAGGACCGATTGAAAACTTTTAGGATAGAAGTTTTCCTGTGGTCATTTAATAAAAATTTATGGATTTGCTCATTTTGAATAATATTTTACCTTTTTAACATTTCAGCTCTTTCGATTAGTTGTTATGTTTGTAACGATTGTCCACAACCATTCAATACCTCTTCTCCAAAGGTCGGTATAGCAACAGGCTGCAAATGGTGTATAGTAAGTTAAACGCCTATAAAGCCTATAAGTTGTAATTACCACATAATATTGATTTTCAAGATTTGACTACACTGAGAGGTGATTTGTGTTTTCAAGGTAAATTTATTTTTTATCTTTTGTGTCGAAATGTACACTTCTCAGTAAATCGCAATTCTACATTACCCGGTACATGTGGATATTATTCTACACTAGTTAAACAATAGTATAACATGTCGTGAAAATGCTGTACTTTTGAGTCCCTTGGATTAATTCTTCTTGTTATACTTGCTTGTAATTAGTGATGAAAGTAAAACATTTTTGTGGAATACTTGAAAGATATTGAACACCTCAAATATGTAGTCGGTTAAGTTAAACGATAGAATAAATCTGAAGTAAGATGGTCTGTCACTAGTCCACTGTTCACCAGATTCATTTTGCATACAGTTATAATGATAAATATCTATGTGAGAAGAAAAACCACCTTCTAAAAATAACTTTTACATCAGTTCTGACGCTTTAAAACAAGCAATAAACGTTAATTAAAGCAGGATTTAATGAATTCATCAAATTTTGGTAGAACTCGTCAGCTGAATACTCTAATACACGGATATATATACTTTTAAAATTACATTGGAGATATAAGACTGATAAGTAAACAAACTAAATTGAATTAGTCATGCAGAAAGACACGTGCGAATGTTTTCCAGGTCATGTTCAAATAGATAAGGGGAGAGAGAGTATGAGAGATCAAAATTAAGATAAATTGCATTACGCTTCAATTAAATCACTTAGATAAACAATTAGTCATTAGGAATATAACGAGAATTGCAAACAGACTAATACCAATAGTAATAGTTATGATAACATTAATAATAATAGTGTTGAAGTGAGTTAAGATAATCCTACTGATGAAGCATAGTTTTAAATGAATCAAGAATAATAATAATAACAATAATAATAATAAGAGGAGGTAGAATAATAGTAATAATAAGTAAAGAATAATAGGTAAAGCGTATTACCATGGTAGATTCAGAGTCACGACCATCTCCTTTTGTATACAGAGAGCTGGTTTATAAATTCGAATTGTACAAGCCTCTGCAATTGCAAGCATCTTCTTGTTTCTTTGTTTGCTGACAATGGTGAATGACTTGACCGCGTCGATATCATGTCCGTAATCCACAAGATGTTTTGTTATTGAAGATTTTGGCACTTTGCACTCAACTGTTTTCAACCATTTTGGAAAATGCTCCATCATGAGAGTAGACCATCACATTTCCGTACGACCTATGTATTTGCTGCCACAAACACACTCAAATTGATATATGCAATTTGAAGTGTCGAGGATTGGCGACTGGTCTTTCCCAGATTGTTGAAGCGCTCACCTGGTTCTGACGCTAGATACATCATAGTAAGACAGTAAATAACACGAAGCTGATGATGTAGTAATCCAAGTGTCATTATTGGTTTTTATGCCTTGCTGTCGTTCATATGGTTTTCGCTGCATAGTAAGATGGGTATTGTATGAATTAGAAACATATTCTATTAGTTGCTCAAGATGAATCAGATACGAACTCATAAATACTGGTTTCTAGGCTGTCAGTTGTTATCGGAAGGGTTTGAAAACTCTTATTTCCCTCGTTACTTCAATTTGCTTATTATATTTTATTTTTAATTTGATTATAGCCTGATTCCACACAGTATTTTTGATACAGGTATGAAATTTTCAGCATATGATATCGGTAGCCCAAATTTTGCAGGTCAACCAATTGGTATGAGGTTTGCGTCGGTAGGGGATCGAACCCCGGACCATTCACTTGGTCGGCGAGAGTCCTAACCGCTGTGCAACTGACGCCCCGAAGTTAGCTTCTTCGTCAGTGCAATATTCAGAAAAAATGTTTCAGCTACACTGAATGCTTACATGTAGACATACTGTATAGAAAAGACTATATATTCTAATTCACTTTTGGATGTTTTGGTATATATTCGATCTTTGGAAAGTTTTGAAGTTGATTGAAAGCACTCTCAACTGATGTCTCACCGTTATCACCAGTGCTATTTCATAATCTGATCGACGAAAGGTCAGAACACAAACGAAATCCTGTGGAGTAAGTAACCATATGAAATTGAGGAGTACTATATTATAAAATGAGTTTTGACCGCGGGTTATTCAGCCAATGGAATGTATTTATTAATTAATGAATGAATGCATGGATGAATGGCAGGAACAAAGAAGCATTTCTGTTCACCTGCTTTATTGTTAAGCTAAACAGGTGTATTTACATTTGATAAAAATCCACATAGTTGAACTAAAAACCTGATAAATTTAGGAGAAGACAGTGCGAGTTTTCAACATTTTCTCAGTCAATATGCACATGATAAAAGTAGGAGTTATGGTGGGGTCGAGGTAGATTGTTTTCAAAAGGGGTTATATATATACTCGTTCTACTTATACAATGTTTTGTGTAAATGGTAGTAACTTTTCAAGGGATTCCACTGCACTAAATATAATAGTTGCTGTCTAGAAAGAAAGTGAAAGCCTCGTAATTAAACCATTCAGCTCAGAAAACACAACCACATCGAAATCATCTACCTGAGCTACAAATCTTCTCTATTAATCTAAAATGGACAAGCTAATATGAAATTATATAAGGACATGTAGGGGACTGTCTAGTGAACTCAATAACATAACAAGTATGTGAATAAAAATCCAGGTTAATGAGATGATAGTGTAACAGTATATTATAAAAAAATGCAGTAATGAGTTATATTAATTAAACGGGTACTTGGATATTCAGTTAAAGTCCAGCACAGAAACGTTCACTGCTGGGGTCGTGTCCACCGGTAGAAGCTGTGTACCGGTTGTAGAATTCTCTTCGGATGAGGATAAGAGGTTCTTGCAGAAATCCACACGGTTATGAGTGAAGCAAGTAGACAGTATAGACCAGTGAGAAGATGAAGCGACCAACAGTATAGTGTGTTTTTAGACTGTACTCAGAGGCTATCTACATTTCAACATGAATCGTTTTAAACAAAAGTCATTTACAATGTCTCTAATTTCAAGATCTAACAAAAGGGTGTACAATCATATTGTTACGTACTCCACAGACATTTATTGAGTAGTTTCACACGACAGGAACTTATTTTATAATCAAGTGAAATATATACATCGGGAAACTGTTATTTGATCATCAAAATTTATCATATTACACATACACACACATTATACCGTAATAAAGATGGATTCTTAAATTTGCGAGGAAAATAAATTTAGAAAAGAAAAAATAATGTCAACTTATGAATACCTTCATTAATTTGAATGAATATTTTGCATCAGAATTCTGTGACGATTTCAGGTTTCGATAGGCTGTTCTGTTAGGTTACTTGTTCACATTAAAAAATTCAGCGGATGACATTTAATGCGGATGGTGAAACGGAAACTGGAGTAGCATTAGGATTTGCATCAGCGACTTCTAGATTACCAGTTTGGTCAAGGCTTCACTTCACTTTCAATCGTCACTCATGACATCAGTGATGATCTACCAACCAAAGAGTAACTCAAGTAGTCTCAACATCTAATAATTTGGTAAATCTGGCCTATCAGCAAGTCAGTGTTTTAATGATTTTTTTAAAGAAAGTAATTAACACAGGAATCTAATTCTTTTCGTGTCAGACTTTATGCTAACTTAGTATACTGTACTTCTGACTAATACACTAATAAAACCAATTCCCAGTTTTAAAAAAAGCTACAGTTTATTAAACATGCATATACCTGCGGATAAAAGAAATAAGAAATATGGCTGTAAATCTAAGCAAACTGAATTAATTCATCTTCAGGTGATAATTAATGCTAGGTGAATATTTTATTTGTCTATCAATGCCTTTAGCAGTAACGTTTTTCATTCTTTGAGTCTCCAGTGGAACTTTATTACGAGATAGGGTTACTAGCTTTATGTCAAGTCTTTCCTCTCTTCCAGGTTCGCTACCATCTAGAAGACTAGGCGAATTTTAAGAGTGAATCGGCTGGAAATCTAGCCTTAACCTACCAAATGACTAGTGAGCAAGCATTCTACGCCATCGCCTTACAGAGGTGGTGAGTACACTTAGCTTATTGTGATGTAATAATTCAAACCTGATGACTATAATTTGTTGTTGAGTGTATTGATTATCCAGTAATTAAATGATGCTCAATGGGATGAAATTCATCTACAGGTCGATCCAATTCCTCCTTGAATATGACTTGAGTATTTGAATAAAGCGAGAACAGCAGTGGTTTGTGCAGAATAATATAGTACCATCATTTATTTATTTCGTTGGCTTCTCATCAGCTGCTTACAGCCTAAATAAATTATGAGGTTTAAGTAAAGAAACGTTTCAAGACACTTGCAAATTTTACATGTTGTCAGTTGACAGAAAGTTCCACAATTAGTAAACAGTGCTCAGAAAAATTGCGCTTATATAGCTTTTACACAGGCAGTTCAAGTTTAAAAAAAAATAAATGTATGCGTATAATGGTAAGGGAATTACATAATAAACATGAGATGTGTGCTAGCTAGATGCATAGTGACTAATAAGTTAGGTAACAATGCACTGAGTTGAACTCAGATCATAGAAACAAGAGACAAGGAGAATTACAGATTATTAAAGGAGGGTGAGGTTAAAGACAAAGATTACGTAATCAGATGAGAGAAAAAATAAAGACATTCAGTTACCAGGTGGGAAAGGAAAGACTAATAACTGCTTCTTTCTGAACACATAAATCTGGTTTCAAGCGTTTGATAGGAATTTCTTCGGAAAACTTGAGGAGAATGGAACTCCTTTGTTTATTGATAATTTTGAAGAATTTCTCGATTTCCACCTCATGACCCGTGTCGAGGAGATGTCTGGTAATAGCGCTACTATAAGAGTTTGTTCCCTTGAGACGTAGGCTTTTCGGCACATGTTCAGAAAAACGGAGGTGTGCCCTCCTTTCTGTTCTTCCAATGTAACTGCTCCCGCAGATGCATGTAAATTTGTATATACAGTTTGAGTTAACATGAGAAGGGTATCTATCGACTTTTGACTGCACCGAAGAGCATGTTGTTCGATGGACGGGAACCAACTTAGCTGCAGGATAGGCTCTGGCTAGTGACGTCCTCAGTCTTCTGTTGACCATTTCTGCAATGTTTTCAGCTTTAAAATCTAGTTGAATGAAGACAGGCTATTTTTGCAACTGTGGTTTGTTTGGTATTTGAGCCTTCACATCTATCATATTTGTTAATGAATCTTTGAGGATAGCCGTTGTTTTCCAGCACCTTTCGAGATTCGTAAATTCTTCCTCTAGTTTCTCTGCAGAGCAGTACAGAGTCTTGACTAGTGCTCGTTTATAGCTATTTGAATAAAAACTATTAAAATGTAAGTATTGTCCATTGTATTATTATCGAAGTTTTTATTTTTATCCGTATCTAGTATTAATAATTACTAATGATTACTCTGAAAGTATTTCTTTAAAAATTTCAAATTCTTTTCTTTCTTCCTTACTCATTTACTGACCAGATGGCATCAATTGATTTATTCGAAGGTTCAGTCAGAAAATGCTCAGATAAGTGTGATTCAGAGACAAAGAGTATAAAAATTCTAAACTTCAATTATACATGTTGTGATACAGACTACTGTAATGTGGGCTTCAAAAGTTGTCCAACATATCAATTCCTATTTGTGCCTATCTTGATTATCTGTTTCTACATAAGTAAGAAACAGTAAATTAAAACAAAAGCATAAACAACAAACGACAAAGAAGCAAACAAACAAACAAACTTATTTTGAACAACATGAAGACATCTCATTTCATATTTGATTGTTTGGTTTTTATAGCGTTTTCTGTTTACAGTTTAGTAACTTTCTTGTATTTCTGTTTGTTTAAATTGATGTATATCAGTTGATTCAAGGACATATTTGTGGTCATCTGCTTGCACACATAACTTTCTTATTTTCCTATCATATTTATTTCAATGTATACTTAAAATCTAATGATATTCTTCAGTATTGAAAAGTTGTATTCACCAAAGTAATTTTTTTATTTTTCTGTCTTTTGTTTGTTGAAGTTTTGAAGTTAAAAAATAATCCACTACTGGTTAAAGATGCTAAACTTTAAAACCGTTCAGAATTGGAATGGTAGACTCCATCCTATCGATTAAAGTTAAACTGAAGGTAGCGTTCTTTATCATTCCAAGATATGAAATGTTTAATGAATAAAGTGTCTGTCCTTATGAGGAATTTTTTTATTATAAATGCAGTGAACAACGATAACACTTTTAGTAAGGGTCTATGTACTTGTTGCTAAGCTAAACAGGGATTACTTAAGTGTAGTAAAAATAAGTCACTTCAAGAATGTTTGATCATTCATAATATTTTGCATTCATTAGTTGTATTTCACAGTTGAAACATTTCTGTAAATAAAACTTTGTCAGAAGTTGAAGCAAAATAGAGAACTAATCAAAACCAAGACATACTAACCATCAGCTTTTAACAGTGTATACTCACTAATCAACCAGGCACTGAACTAATTTGGGAATAACAGACTTCATGGCTAGGATGAAGCTAGCAGGTTGGAATAAAGAAAAAAAACAGGGATTTTGAATCGTTTATTGACCCACTATATTAAATTTATCATCCTTCACAAGACCTCACCAGAACCTGTAGAAATTCGACTTTAAGTTGGCTATGAATGAAGAGTCGACTAGTATTCAGATGTTGGATTTATAACGGTTCGGCTAATGTCAAGAGAGATTTCGTTGTCACATATTGATGAAGATTTCGAACATAGGACGAAACAACTCTTCAGCGCTCTATGACTTCCAAACAATCTCTAACTAGTATAATTTCATTTTGAAATGTACTTTGATATCAGCCAAATCATAGCTTAGTCACCGTCTGCATAATAACGTGTTATCTGATAATTAATAAATAAAAGGGTGGAGTGTATAAAGATGAATAACTTTCACTAAGTTACCTTGATTCTTTTACCATATCAGTCCAGACCTGTAATTTGAAATTGTTTGCTAAACCCGTGGAACATTCTGGATTTCCAATCTGAAACAAAATATCCAATAACAAAGCAAGGATGTAGACCAATAATATTACCTAGTCTTCTTCACTAATTGTTGGAGACTCAGATCTCATAGGATCCATTACTAGTGACACCGAATACCGTTATCTGTTTAGATAAGGCAATAAGAAGACGTAATTTGTCTTATTCATGTAATCGATTTGCTCAACACATTTCGAGCAATCCGATCATACACGGACTTGTCCTAAGAATATATATGAAATTAATAAATAGTTAAGAGGTGAGAAAATAGACTTAGGTCAAGTTAGAGGGATATATTGGAGGTCAAACTAACAATGAAGACCACTAAACCAAATAACAGAAGTAATAGTACATCTACCCTGGCTGGCATCAAAACAAAATTTACCAAGAAAGGTTTAATGTGATGACGAATTGTTTTTCAACGCATAAAGGGGGTCTAAACTTCCTAATTGCTAGCTAGGATACTACCAAAACACGTTTTATAGATAGGTTTAAAAGATGTGTAAACATCAATTTTATGTTCTGTCTCTATAATATGTTTCACAATAGAGAAGCTTGGTCTCCTGTTCTCACCGTTAATGGGTTCTGAAGATTCTGTTTGCTTCTGGAGCCACTTATGAATATGCTCTGAAGCCAGCAGAACAGATATCGATGAGTCCTCCCTATGTATGTGTGTCCACACGTACAATCAAACTGATAAATACAGTGGGATGTGACGTTAATTTTCGCATGTTCAAAGGGCGTATTATTATTATCGTATCCCTTAGTTCCTAGAGGAACATAGGGCTTCAGCTGTGCACCTCCATTGCCTTCTGTTTTCTGACAACTTTTTCACCCCGCTCCAGGTCTGTCCACATGCTTTCATCTCCTCCTCGCATGACCTCCTCCAAGTCACCCTTGGACGACCAACTCGCCGCTTCCCTTTCAGGTTCCACTTGAGCAATGGCTTGTCTAGTGATGTCACTTGATGGTTTCCTCAGAGTATGGCCAGCCAATGCATCTCCACTTCTTCCTGTCTATTTGCTTCACAATCGGTTCCTGATTGGTTCGCTCCCAGAGATCCCTGTTGTTGATCTTTTCTGGCCGGCCACCTGATCTTGGGTAGTGTTGAGCGAAGACAACTGTTAATGAAGGTCTGTAGTTTGTTGGAGATGCTCTTTATGACGCGTAGTGCAAGTCTCTGATCCATCCGTATAGTAAGTAGCACTGACTGAATTCACATTGGAGTTGAAAATCCGGATCTTATTTCTCATGATGCTGAGTGCTGTTGATGTCCACACAGACTTGAGAGTGATGAAAGCTTTTCTTGCTTTTCTGATTCTGGCTTTGATATCTTCGTCAGTTCCATCCGCCTGTAGTTGAAACAATGCTTCCCAGGTAGGCAGGTGAAGGAGGTTGTTTCTTTCAGGTTCCTCCCATTTATCCTGGCTGATTGTTGTCTGTTGTTGTTGTTGCTGTTGATGTTGGCCAGGAGTCTTCATCACCTCTGTTTCATCTATGTTCACTTGAAGCCCTATCTTCGGATGCTTCTTCTGCCAACTTGTTGCTTTTCACTTGTATATCTTCCAGTCTGTGGGAAATCAGACTTATATCATCGGCGAAGTCCAGATCCTCCAAGTGTCTTTTGTGTGAGTCCATTTTATGCCTGTTCCCTCGTTGGTTGCCGTTGTCTGTCGCATTATCCAATCAACTGCAATCAGGAAGATCATTGGTGATAGTAGACAGCCTTGTCTCACTCCCGTCCTCACTTCGAAGGCTTCCGTAAGTTTCCCGTTGTGGATTACTTGGCATGCAGAATTGTCGTATAACTGTTGGATGAGATGTATAATTGTCGATGGGACCCCGTAGTAGCGAAGTAGTTGCGTAATCACCTCTCGATCGACGCTGCGATCAAAGGCCTTCTAAAAGTCGATGAAGTTGAGTGAGGTAGAGAGGTGACTGCCACTCCAAGCTTTGTTTAATGATGATCCGTAGTGTTGCAGCTTGATCGATGCATGACTTGTCCCTCCTGAATCTAGCGTGTTCTGGTCGAAGTCTTTCATCCAGGTTGGTGTGTTTGATTCTCTCCAGGATGATGCGGCTAAGTATCTTGCTTGGAATGGACAGAAGCATAATTCCACGCCAGTTTTTGCATTGACTTTAATCTCCTTTCTTTGGTAGTTTGAATAAGTATCCGTTCTTCCAGTCCTCGGATACTTTGCCCTCTTTCCACACCTTCTCCAGCAGTGGCGTCATCAAGTCCGCTGTTGTCTCTGGGTCTATTTTCAAAGCTTCTGCTGGGATTCCATCTGGTCCTGCTGCTTTCCCAGCTTTTAGCGTCTTGATTGCATTCAGGACTTCTGATTTCGTCGGGGGTGTCGATATTCACTGGTAATTCTGCTTCCGTTGTTGGTATTGTTGGGCGTGTTGTAGGTGGCGGACGATTTAGAAGTCTTTTGGAGTGTTCAGCCCAGTGTTTTCTTTGTTCCACCTCTTTGGTGATTGACTTTCCATTGTTATCCCTAACTGGCTTATTCTGTGTCGAACTTTTTCCCGATAGGAGCCTAGTTGTTTGGCAGAGTGTGGCGAGGTCTCCTTTGCCTGCAGCTTGTTCTGCTTCGTTTGCCATGGTTTCATAATATTTTCCTTTGTCTTCCCTGGCACTCTTCTTCACTCTTTTGCTCAATGTATTGTAGCTTGCATTCAACTCCTGTTTTTGTTGCTCGTCAGTCTACTGGATAATCTTTTGTTTCACTGTCCTTCTCTCTCTTATTAGTTTCCAAGTGTCCGTAGTGAGCCACTGTTTGTCCTGTCTCTTCTTTCTGCCTAGAACTTCCATGCAGGTTTGACTCCACACCGTTTTCAAGTTGTTCCAGTGCTTTTCGACGCTGACCTTTTCGCTGGTGTTGATTTGTGTCTCGGCTTTGTCCCTTATGCTTGCAATGAAGATGTCCTTTGTAGCCTGGTCCTTCAGTTTTTGAGTGTTGAACTTGGCTTGTGGTCTATCTGCAGCTCCTCCTTCTCTGAAAGCTTTTAATTTGATTTGGATTGTCCCTTGTACGAGATAGTGGTCTGAGCCAACGTCTGCTCCTCTTCTTACTTTTGTGTCCAGTTAGCTGCGCCTCCACTTCCTAGAGATTGAGATGAAGTCAGTTCGGTTTTTGGTTCTCCCGTCTGGTGACACCCATGTAGCCTTGTGGATATCTTTGTGGTTGTATACACTGCCACCAATCACTAGTTCGTTGAAGGCGCAGAAGTCGGCGAAGAGTTCTGCGTTTTCATTCATTTCTCCGAGAGCTTCTCTACCCATGATGAGTTCCCTTCCTGTGTTATCTGGTCCCACTTCGGCGTTCATGTCTCCCATTAGTATTTAATGTCGCCAGCTGGAGTATTGTCCATTGTTGCCTGTAGGTGTCTGTAGAATTCTTCTTTCTTTTCGAGGTCTGCGTTGTTTGTGGGTGCATAACATTGTATAATTGACAGTTTCCTTCCTTTGGAGTTGAATCTGGCGGTCATTATCCTGGACGAGATCGCCTCCCATTTCATAAGTGTTAAAAGGGCTTAGATGGATATATTGGATTCACACCCTCAATAATTATGATATTAGCTT